GCATCCCCTAGAGTCGGATTTGACTGGCTTTCGAGCAAGGGAAACCTTTACCTTACAGCACGCTAGAGGGGCAGTGGGCCGAATAATGCTGTGCAAAAGCAGGGGTGGTCCCAGACTGCTCCCTGACCTGAGTTGTAGCAGTTGCAGAGTTTGGTGAGGCAAGCCGGCCAAGCCCTGGTGGGGGCCGCCCTGCAGAGACCTTTGCCTTCCCCAGCCCAGCCCAGCCTGCTCAAACAAATGTATATCTGCCGATTGTCCCGAGTGCTGGAGCTTCTTCAGTCTGCCTCCTTGCGACATCCAAAGCCCGGAGATAAGGGAAGGCGCCCAGGGAGGGCTTGTGGGTGGAGCTCTTCGCCTGCCTTCCAGAAGGAGCCCACGGCAACGGGTTAACCCTGTGGGGCTGGAGACTGGGGTGACCTGCTCCGGGTTGGGAAATTAATGGGGATTTGGGGAGATTTGATGATGGAGCCTCAAGAAGGTGACATTTGGGGAGAGGAGGGTCTAATGCTCTAAAGCAGGGGTGGCCAAACTGTGGCTCGGAGTCGCATGCGGCTCTTTCACTCATATTCTGTGGCTCCTGGCAGGGCAGCTGGGGAAGCAAAAGGGAGGAATACTTTTTCTCCTTCCCTCCCTCCTTCTCTCCCTCCTTCTCTCTCTCTCTCCCTCCCTCCTTCCTTCCTTCCTTCCTTCCTTCCTTCCTTCCTTCCTTCCTTCCTTCCTTCCTTCCTTCTCCCTCCATCCTATTTGCTTTTTGTTTCTCTCTCTCTCTCTCCCTCTTTCCACCTCTTTCATTCTTTCTTTCCACCTCTCTCTTTTTCTCTCTCTGTCTCAGACAAATCAATATCATTAGCAAACAAATAAATACCATTATCAATATCTGGTTTTACCCCTTTTGTTTTTATTTTTGCCCGTCTCATTTAATGTCAATAAAAAGCAAATTTGCATACTTTAAAAAATAAAAATGTGTGTGTGATATTTACTCCTGTCTCGCAGCTCTCAAACATCTGACCTTTATTCTATGTGGCTCTTACATTGAGCAAGTTCGGCCAACCCTGCTCTTTGGTGAAACCCCTTTCCAAACTCTCCCCTCCACAGGCATCGCCCCCCCAAATCTCCAGGAATTGCCCTGGCTAGAGCCAGTCACCCTAGCCAGTGTGTGTGACTTCTACCGTGTGCATGGCCAGGGTGGGGCCCTTTTGAGTGTGCCCTCATGTAGCCTCGTGAGTCCCCGGCTTGGAGGCGTGTCCCGATGACAGGAATTCCAATCTGGTCCATCTGGGTTGGGAAAGGTCCACCCGCTCGCCCACCCCCAGCCTTGTGCTTTCAAGAGCAATTGAGGCACCTCCTCAGCGGGTCAAAGTATTTTGACGCTATCTGGATTGAGGCAATCTCCGGACTGGGAGCTCCTCCCCGCTGGGAGAGGCCTCCGCCCGTTCAGCCTACTCCTTCCCAAGGGACTGGAAGCCGAAATGACTCCTGGCCGTCTTCCATTCCCGGTGCCACGACAGCCACAAGTTCAAGGCCACCCCACCGCTTCTGTGGACTCCGGGGCTCTTCTATCGCCTGGGCCACAATGAGCACAAATGAAACTGCAGAACACCTGGGGGGCGTCCGGAGGGTGAGAGGTGCCTCTGTTGGGTCTCCGTTAAATAGTGGGTTCCATGGATGAACAGACCACAAGTCTAGTGATCAGCTCTACTTTATTTGTGATTTCAGCAAGCGCAAGACAAGACTCCTGAGCCTCAGCTCTGCTAAAGAGCATGTCGTTGCCACACCCAAATACCCGCCGCTCCCAGCGATAGGCTGTTTACATCACATTACTACTAGATTGGTTTATTCCAGAGTCCTGGTCGGCTATTGTTCTAGTGCACTAAGCTCAGCCAGTCTCCGGGGTGATTCAGTCAGGAATGATTCAATCCCAGTACATAACAGTCTCCTTTCTGTTTTGGGTTACCCTCTGTCTGTGAGTAGGGTTGAGGCCACGGTGAGGGGGATCCCCCCCAGCCCCGGCTGGGCCCGTCTTGGGGGAAGAAAGCAACGGGACGTGGCTGCTGCTCCCGAGCAGG